TTGTTTGTTTGTTTTGTGGGGGTCAAGGATTTTTTTTTTTAGTATTTGTGGCATTTGTTTGTTGTGGTTGCTGGGGACGATGGTTAGGTTAGGTTATTTGACCTTTTTTTATTATTTTTGTCACCTGAAGATTTGCCCCTCTAGCTTATTTCACACACACACACACACACACACACACACACACACACACACACACACACGGACACAATAACACATACGCACACTATTGATTACATCTATGATTCAGTCGTAATCTTAATGGTTGTCTGATGTAAATATTCTATTGTATTGTTGATGTAAGTGTTCAGAGGCATGACTGTACGTGCTTCTGTGTGTGTGTGTGTGTGTGTGTGTACGTGCGTGTGTGTGTACGTGCGTGTGTGTGTGTATGTGTACGTGTGTGTGTACGTGCGTGTGTGTGTGTGTACGTGTGTGTGTGTGTGTACGTGCATCTGCGTGTGTGTGTACGTGCGTGTGTGTGTGTGTACGTACTTCTGTGTGTGTGTGTGTACGTGTGTGTGCGTGAGATACGTGTCTTGGCACTTCCTCCACAAAACGGTGTAAAATTCTTAAATACTTACAAGACACAAAAGGTTAATATATTATCCCGCATTTGACATTTATCCTTTTAAGGAAATTTCACGACGTTCAAATACCTTTTTCTTATTCATGTATACGAAAGAAATTAATTACCTCTGTGATTATTATACATGTGAAAGTGAATTAATATTTAGATGAAAAAGACGAGAGATTGACAACAAAACATCCAACACCTCCACCAGAAGAATTAGAAACAGGTTCGAATCTAAATCCTTTTTTATTATTGGTTTCGATCCTGCATAATGGCATTTGATCCAATTCCTCCGAGCATCTGTTGTCTCCAGGGACCTTATCTCCATTCCTTATATATCAAGGGTTACGACACTTATGCCCTATTTTTGGATTGATTGTTTATTTATTAATTTTCTGGTTATATTAGAGTGTTACTATAAGACAAGCAATAAGGGTACCGTTATATCGAAGAATAGTATTAAGAAGGTGGCTGGCGCGCGCTGAAACGAACGACGTACACTATATTTGTCCTGATTGGGCAGTGGGGCCCCAAGGACGGTGATGACGTCAGTTCCCACCTCCCGTGGTCGCTAACCCATGATCAATTGTTGCAAGGTCGACTTCCCTCCCTTCTTTCCTTCCTTTCTTTCTTCTCTCCCTCCTTCCTTTCCTTCACCCTCCTTCCTTTCCTTCACCCTCCTCCCCTCCCCTCTTCTCTCCGTCCATCCCTTCGCTCCCTCCTTCCCTTCTCTCCTTCCATCCCTTCCCTCCTCGTCCCTTCTTCCCTCCCCATCCTTCATTTCCCTCCTCCTCCCCTTCTTCTCTCCCTCCATCTCTTCATCCTTCCCTCCTTTAGTTAATATCGTAAAAATAACATAAATTATCGTATAAACTTGCACCAGTCTTTATATTTTAAGTGTAAAACAACCAAGCCTTAATTTATGTGTTATTTGTTTTAATTGATCATTGTGTTTACGGTTTGTGTGATTGATGCCTCTATTGCCCATTAAAACAAAAGATTTATTTAATAGTGTGCTGATATTAATTCCACTCGTCTCAGCTTACATTTGTCATCATCCTTCTCTCTCGCAAAGAATTTCATTGTTGATATCGCCTCAGGGAATATTAACTGGACGTAGATGACCATTCACAGTATAATGTTATCACTGCACTTCAACAATTCAGTCTTTAAGCGTATGTCAAGGTCCATGATAAATATAACTGTGTGTGGTTTAAGGCGGCGAATATGGTTGTTTTTCCTGTAGTTATCCCTGTAATGTTAGTAAAAGAAAACGATTCGAGTCACCGAAGGGACATTCTCTCATTTTAACAGTAACTTATTTAAAATGTTAGCATATTTAGGAAGGTAACAACAATAACGATGATAATAATAATAATAATAATAATAATAATAATAATAATAATAATAATAACAACAATAACTATAATAATAATAATAATAACAATGACTTTAATAATAATAATAATAATAATCAGGTGAAATAAACTGAAGTGCCTAATCTTCCAGTGGTTCTGTCTAGCCACAAGTGTAGATGTCTAGATTTATTAATTAATTCTCTAACCTAACCTAACCTCCTAATCACTGTCACGAATGATACTCACTCAGTCTTACTTATGTACTCATCCTGACACTTCACCATGAGTCACTTCTCAACACACTCATAGATACGAGTACATCCTGAAGGGTACACCCACAACTTGACCTTAAAGTGTTATATCTTAAGTGTCAACAACAAAGATGATATGAGTTAATTAGTTTTTTTTATTGGTAGTTATATCGTAATTAATTTATCCTTCAATTAATGTTTAAGTGAATGTTATCGAGTTAAGGTTGAGTCTCTGGGTAATACACACACACACACACACACACACACACACACACACACACATACACACACACACACACACAGACACACACACACACGCACACACACACACACACACACACACACACACACACACACACACACACACATACACTACTTCATTGACCACCGGAGGCACTGGTCCTGCTGTGGCGGCTGCCCCCGGCCAACGTTGGCCCATTCCCCAAGTCCCTCTCCCTGACCCATTCTCACCACCGGGATATCAACATAATCAAAAGTGACAATTTCGTTCTGGAAAAGAGTGGGACCAGTGATGAACAGTGATGAACAGTGTTTAAGTCAGTGAATTCAGCACCAGACAGTACCAGTGAGAGCCGCCACCCACCAGTGAGATAAGCACCCCTGGGAACTGACCGCCATCTTCTGACCAGGAGGTGTTAATCAGTCCACCCTGGGAACAACAGTGGATCGGCTTTACACCTGACTACTGTGACCACCACACCACTTGGTGTCTCCATAACCACGTGAGGTCCTTCATATTAGCATCTGCGGACGAGTTACTGCGCAAAACAACAGGAAGATCTAAAAAAAAAAAAAACTCGAGCGCTCTGAAAAATGGCAGATGAAATTCAATGTGGACAAATGTAAAGTACTTAGTCTAGAAGATGTAAACAGAGAAACCAGTTACCAGATGAACGACGATGTTATACCTAAGTCCGACTGAGAGAAAGATTTAGGAGTAATGATAAGGAGGAACCTTAAGCCAAGTAAACAATGTGTATTTGCTCGAAACAATGCTAATAAAGTACTTGGGTTCATACAAAGCAGTGTTAGTTACAAGACTAGCGAGGTCATCCTAAACTATATCTTGCGCTTGTGAGACCTCACGTGGATTACGCAGTTCAGTTCTGGTCACCTTATTACAGAATGGATATAGAATCCTTGGAAAGAATTCAGAGGAGAATGACAAGACTAATCCCGGGCATTAGGAACCTTGAGTATAGAGACAGGTTAAAGCATCTTAATTTGCACTCCATCGAGAGACGTAGAACGAGGGGCGACATGATAGAGGTGTATAAGTGGAAGTCAGGGCTGAACAAAGGGGACATTACAAAGGTACTCAAACTATCCAACCAAGAGCGAACTCGTAACAATGGTTTTAAATTAGACAAATTTAGATTTAGTCGCGAAATAGGTAAACATTGGTTTGGTAACAGAGTAGTGGATGAATGGAACAAGTTACCAAATATCATCATTAACGCGAATACTCTGGATAGCTTCAAACATAGGTTGGATGGATATATGAGCAATAGGGGTTGGGTGTAAACGGGACTGCCCAGTATGGGTCAATAGGCTCTCAGTTTCCCCTATTATTATGTTCTTATTTTTGTCGAATGTATATTTTCAGCTTTCGGGCTACAGAACTTTTTCAATAAACCGGTAAATAGCACACACACACACACACACACACACACACACACACACACACACACACACACACACACACACACACACACACACACACACACACACACACACACACACGCCAAAGAGTGTTAGATGATGATATTGAGGACCAGTGTTTGTAAACCCGAATAAATGTTAAAGACCCAATAGAAATAAACCTTTAAACTGCTATATATGAGTCTATCTGTCTGTCTGTTTAACTGTTTATTTATTAATCTGTTCTGTCTGTCTGTCTCTAAATTTAATCGGTCGACCAGGTTATTAAACACGAGAGATCATTTATGTAACAACATTTTGTTCTCATAAATCCAAAGAACATACGCTGATTTAAGATTATTTCGCTATATTAACAAACTTTACCGATGTTATATTATGTTTGGTTAGTACTGAGGATGTTTATATAAATGTTTCTACTATGTTATATATATTTACTCGTCGGTGACAATTTTCCAGAGCAAAAAATTTGAAACATTTTAAAATTATCGTTTTATCACAGTACATAGTTATCTTTCTACAGCACTCAAATTAATTTTCGTTATCGTGAATTGTAACGAGCAAACTGATATAACAAGAATTTCCCTCCGCCTTATCAGTGTTGCTTAGTTCCGTGATGTAAATTTATCTTGGCGGGAACACTTGGCTGGAATGAGAGCTCCGGCCGGACACTGATGACGTCACACCCTGTACCTGCCCACACACACAGTGGTGCCAGATTTTAGGATTTTTAAAACCTTTATTGTTATACCGCTTCTCTTATCAACCATAATTTAATATTCTTATAGTATTAGTGTATAATGTGTATTTATTTTACTTGTAATAGATTATATTGACCTAGGAAGGATATATTTGTAAATAATATTGTAGTGTGGCACATGGTAAGGCAAGGTTAGGAAGATGTCGTCACTAGTGTTTACGTCACTGGCAGTTGTCAAGTATCTCATTTATCATTATATTTTTAGCTATAAATCCGTTTCTGTTGAATAAATACGATATAAATTTATAAATATACATTGATATTATTATGTCTAAAAGGTTCATATTGTTAAATTGGTCTATTACGAAGCTCATTTAAATAGCAGAAAACAAACGTTAGCAACTGTATTTACATCACCAACGGTCTCCAAAACATTGACTATAGTTGTTCATTTGGAGAGAAATCCTGGTAAATTTATACATATTCCAAACCAATAACTCCAAAAAATAGGAAAATAACGAGAATCACAACAATATTCAGAAACATCCATAGGGGAATTAATAACCCGAGCTGAGTGTTAATGATAGGTGGCACCACTGCACCCGGCTACAGTGTTGTTGGCGTGGGAGACGAAACCTAGTGACCTTTTCCGCCTCCATTCATTAACTGGTGTACTTTCTGAGGAGCTACTGGGATACCGGGACGGGCAAACACCACACTTACCTCCCACTCAAGACCTTGTCCGCCTCAGTGTCGAGCATTTGGCCCTGTGTCAACAACCATTCTGACGCTGGTAATTCTTCTGTCCGACACCGCCAGCATTGATCCCGTCTCCTCCTCCTCCTCCTCCTCGCGGCTGCCACGACGTGTTCTGTACGACACTCTCCACCATCTCTCTATATATTTCTCTCTTTCTATCTCCCTCTATCTCCCCCTACCCCTCTCTCTTTATATCTCCCTCTCTCTATCTCAGCATCTTATATATATATATATATATATATATATATATATATATATATATATATATATATATATATATATATATAATTTTTTAGTATCTCTTGACCTTGTATTTTTCCCAAGCAATATAAATATTTTTCTATTGCTTTTTACCCCCTCCGCCCCCCCCTCCTTCCGCCCACCCTTCCTCCCCCCTCCCCCCCCACACCGCTAGGCTTTTGTTTGTGTTTTATAAGTAGAGTTGAATGCCATATATGTTTGTGTTTATAATAGGATCATTAACATTTCGTGTTTCTTTTGTTTTTAGGTTTAAGTGTTTGTTTATATTATCATCTGAAATAGGATAGTTGTTATTATTGTAATTGTTATTATTATTATTTATTATTTTTCTTATATTAATATTATTATTATTTTGATTAATGTTATTTTATTATTATTATCGTTATTGTTATTATTATTTTATTATTATTACAGGTATTGTTGTTATTGTTAATTTACAAGTGAAAGTGATTGACAACACTGCCGGACCGTGTTTTTTTTAGTGAGTGATTTATAAGGGCTCCTGGCTTGTGATTTACGAGTGACATTTGGTGACGCTCCCTTATCTGTGATTTACAACGGCTAGGGATTGACAACTTATCCTGAAGTGATTTAAAAAAGTACCAGTAAATGATAACATTCCCTGGTTGGTATTTTCCAAAGAACCAGTGATTGACAACACTTCCTGATGTGTTTTTGTTAGTGAATGTGATTGACAAGATTACCATTAGAAGCGACAGTGATTGATGACACTTTCTAAGGTCGTGATTTGCAAAAGAAAGTTATTGCCAACATTATTCGATCAGTGATTTTTACACATGTGAGTGACGAGAATATTTTTGACCGTGATTTATAAATGCCAATAGTTTACAGCACTTGCTAACCGTGATTTACAAGAGTGATTGACAACACTTACTCGTGTTTTACAAGGATAAATGTTTTACAACACCTCGACCGTGATTTATTAGTTTGTGATTGACAACATTTCCTAACCTGTGATTCATGTATACTGGTGATTGTTGACTTAGCCACCCACGAATTGTGATTTCTGCCACCCATCTCACGCCTAACGAGTGACGAGTGAGTGACCTTGAGTAACACACCGTTCCTCTTCCTCCCAGAAATGCTGATGGCCGCAGCTCCAGTACCAGTGATCAGTGCAACTAATCACCGCCCACACTCCCGCCCCGTGACCATCACTCGCCCCATGACACCCCTAAGTGACGCCCTTCCCCGACCCGTGCCACCCTTGCCGTCACATGCCACACCACCACCCGCTCTGCCCGTGTCCTTGTACGTGGGTGTGTCCGTGTCGTCCCAGCTGGTGGACGTGAGGAGGTTCCCAAGCGGTGGTCAGGGGGAGGAGCTGCCCGTGTTGAGGGTGACCCCGCATGACCTGACCTATCGAGGGGAGGGCGCCGACCACATCGTCCTCAGGGTCATTGGCAAGGTGAGTTTACCTGATTGATACCAGACTCCCGTACCTGTATTAATGGAGCTAATTATTTACCTTGGTGACTTGTGATATAACTTTTTACAACCTCGCTATAGTAAAATGTTATCCCGATATCGCCTATCAGATGATTATACACCAATGGCATGATTTTTGGTCGTTACGGTGCTGGGCGGGTGAACAGGTGGCTTATCCATGGCTTCTTGGTACAGTGAAACCTCTATTTAATGGACAATATGCGAGAGGTTAATCCGTTAAATTCCCTTATATTGAGGTGTCACTATTCAGGAGCTAGTGAGTTACTCCACCACTTTGACTGAGTGTACTGTAGAGCAGTGAGTGCCAATGTGTTTTATACTGGGAGTGCCATTATGGTTTATACTGGGAGTGCCATTGTGTTTTATACTGGGAGTGCCATTATGGTTTATACTGGGAGTGCCAATGTGTTTTATACTGGGAGTGCCATTATGGTTTATACTGGGAGTGCCATTGTGTTTTATACTGGGAGTGCCATTATGGTTTATACTGGGAGTGCCATTATGGTTTATATAGGAGTGCCATTATGTGTTATATTAGTAGTGGCATTATAACAACGCCAATTGACCAATCAGAGTGAGGGGTGATATAGAGGGTGAAGATATAAAGCCTAGTACAGACAGCACTGTAGTTCACACGTCTCTACAGTATACTCGTGCTGTAGCTTAAGTGTGTCTCGTGTCTTTGGTTACGAGATAATTTCAAAATTCGAGTCTTTGAGAATCTTAAGCAATTGGTTAAGTTATTGTAACACTTTAAGATTATCCTTCCAGCTTATTTCATCACCCTAACTTAACCTAACTTAACATTAACATTTCCTAACCTGAGCTAAACTAACCAGACCTAACTTAACATTAACATTTCCAAACCTAAACTAACCTAACCTAACATAACATTATCTTAACATTTCCTAACTTAACCCAACCTAATCCATCTTAATCCATGTTAGTCCAATGCAGCCTGACTTATTGTGTTCATTACTCGGTACAGCTGCCCAGGATAGACACGTGGCACTATCATGGTAAATTACTTATCACGGGTGGACGCAATATCCTGCACAGGTGTGACACTTAACACACACACACGTGCACGCACCCAAACTCATACACGCACATATACGTATCCTGTGCACTCCAACTTATGCATATACCCACTTATGCCTGCACTCAGATACAATGCTTGCACGCACTCAAACTCATGCATGCAGATCATTCTGATTCATTCAAACTAAAGGAACAGAAACGTGTTCTAGACATGAAACGTCCGTGGCTTGCGCTGTGTGTATATGTACGTGATCTGAGCTGTGTGTGTTTACGTCCGTTATCTGAGCTGTTAAGATTAAAGAAAAACATTCTTGTCTTTGTGAATTTTTAGCAGTTTGTGTTCTAGTGTTATGTAGTACAGATCAGTCAGGTCAGTCAGTGTGTTGGTGCCTCAGTCACCTGTACTCAGCAGCTGGTTGGGTGATGTGCTGAGGTGGTAAGTCATCGTGTGTTGACGTGTCTTCCAGGAGGTTATAAGAACTGTTTCCCCTTGGGACATTCATTTCCCCACAACCACTACACTACACCCACCACAACCACTACACTACACCCACCACAACCACTACACTACACCCACCACAACCACTACACTACACCCTCCACAACCACTACCCTACCCCCCCCACAACCACTACACTACACCCACCACAACCACTACACTACACCCTCCACAACCACTACACTACACCCACCACAACCACTACACTACACCCACCACAACCACTACACTACACCCACCACAACCACTACACTACACCCCACTACACACAACCACTACACACCCACCACAACCACTACACTACACCCACCACAACCACTACACTACACCCACCACAACCACTACACTACACCCACCACAACCACTACACTACACCCACCACAACCACTACACTAGGTAAGGCTGTGTTAGGTTACGTTAGGCTAGGTTAAGTTAGGTTAGGCTAGGTTAAGTTAGGTTAGACTAGGTTAAGTTAGGTTAGACTAGGTTAAGTTAGGTTAAGTTAGGTGAGGTTAGGTTAGGTTATGCTCAGATGTGTTCAAAACAAAGCAGTAAACAATGGTGAAAATTTCCTGTGTTGAAGAATGTTGATAACTGCATCAGCAACTTGCAATCGCAGCAATAACTGGAGACACTACTTTCTTGCTGACTCTGAATAATGTTGCAAGAGTGAGTTTAAACAGCCAAGGATGTAGTGTAGTGTTGGTGTCAGCTGATGTATGATGAGGGAGAGAGAGAGAGAGAGAGAGAGAGAGAGAGAGAGAGAGAGAGAGACAGAAAGAGACCAAATCAGTGACAGGGACAGACAGAAGGTTAAGGGTTCACACATTTCTCACATACTGAACCACAATGGCTGTCAGTGTCCACCACCACAGGTCGTTTCCCTGGGCGGTAGTGTGGACGAGTCATGGCGCCTCGGTTTCACAATGTGCGGTATGTCAGTCTAGTTGATGGCCGGGAAGTGATTTGGTTAAAGCCACGCGTATCTGGGCTTACCGTGTGTTGATTGGTTCTTTACCCGAAATCACGTGGGTTATTATCCCCTTCAGGATATTAATATTACTTTATTTCATTTAACCTCAAGGTGGTATGTATTTAAAGTTACATAACAGATCAAAATTGTCTTGTCTACCCATGTCGGTCAGTGATATCGTGGGGGTGCCAAGTGAACGATAACAGTCACATGCCAACGAGAGTTCTTGAGCGAGTGGTAATTACTGGTATATACTTGTTAGGTTTCGTGTTGCGTGTCTTTGGGGATGTTGTAAGTGACGTATTTTTTTATGTGTGTGTGTGTAAGAAAGAACGAAAGAAAGATAAAAAGAAAGAAGCAGACTTGGAGGCGCTGTACCACTCTACCACTACCATAAACAGAGTTGAATATATGACTCCAAGATCTAGATGTATAATATTATGTACCAAGTTGTCGGAGAAGGATTATAATATACCAGTGTTATTAAACCGTATCTAATCGTGGCTTCTACCCAACATAAGAGGTGGAAAAACAAAAGATTGCGAGAGATATGAGAGTTGAAATCACCCTGAGACACACTGAGACACCCTGAGACACACTGAGACACCCTGAGACACACTGAATCACCCTGAGACACCCTGAGACACACTGAATCACCCTGAGACACCCTGAGGCACACTGAATCACCCTGAGACACACTGAGACACACTGAATCACCCTGAGACACACTGAGACACACTGAATCACCCTGAGACACACTGAGACACACTGAGACACACTGAATCACCCTGAGACACACTGAGACACACTGAGACTTTTCCGTAATTTGAAACCCTCTCCTGCGGCTCATAGACTTAAATCAAGGAAAAACTTTTCTGGGGCGAGTGTTTGCGCATCCGGGTCCAGACTGTGAGTGTTTATACGTGTATATTTATGTATGCCTTATGTACTGTAGGTGCGTGTTATAAGTATTGTGATTGTATGTTGTTTGTATGCGTGTTAGTACAGCAGTAACTATCATACAAATTGTTATAACTTCATAATATCAACTTATAGCGAAGCACCATAGTAAGACAGGTACACCATACTGTAGTAAGTACTTTTGTTATATAATCAAACTGGCACCATAATGAAACTAGCACCATATTCAGTCAGGCACCATACAGAGATACACAACACAACACTACACAGACACACACACCACCATAAAACGCGCATCATGACCTCCTGCCCTCAACACTGCGCCTTTCACCAGTGCCGCCGCCGCATACCCCCTCCCTCCCTCCCTCCCCCCTGGATGCAATTGGTTGGTCAGGGTCGCCGCCTGGCTTGTAGAGCAAAACCTTTTCCCACTTTTCTCGTGTCGATGGTTGTTTGCGTCTGTTGTTTATATTCACGTGTTCCTACCCCCCTAACAGGGGCAGGTGGTTCGACTGCGCAAGACGGCCGTAGGGGGAGTGACCAGCCGGGAAGATCTAATCCTCCGGGCCACCAGGGATGAAGACTTCCTGCACAACGTGGCCCGTCCCATCCTCGGCCCCTTACTGACCGATGAGTCACGCCTTGCCATCTTAGACCCGGAGACTCTGACAGCCCTCAAGCACACCGTCGAACCCAGGAGACAAGGTAAGGGGCTAGGAGACACCTTTAGGGGCAAGGAGATAATATGAAGGGCTAGGACGGAAGGGAGGAAGTAGGAGATATAGTACCTTTATATGGTATGTCGATGGAGGTCAATTTAGAAGGCGTACAGGCAAGAGGACTGGCATGGGAGCATTATGATTCGAGACGATAAGGTAGTCAGACCCCCCTCCCCACCCCTCCCCACCCCTCCCCACCCTCCCCCTCCTATAAAACTGACTTAGTGTTATAAATTATAAATAGACTGAAAGGTGAGGATTTACCAACCTTGAGGTGATAAGATAATGCATTGGTGCTCTGAGGTTACGGTACAGACTCAGGTTTAGTGTATCACAGAGATAAGATGGGTGTTGGGATCTGGTGTCTGAGGAAGAGGGGATCAAAGGAGAGAGAGAGACAGAGAGAGTCAGGAAATTTCGCAAGATTGTGTTGCTAATCTGATATTGATGACTCTCTCTCTCTCGTTCCTTCGTTGCCTCCCCTCTATGGCTGCCTGACGGAGGGGAAGCACTTAAAAATGTACGCGTCAAGAGGGTAGGGAAGGGGGCAGCAGGAACGTCAGGGGATCAGCGTAGCGCATATAACCTCACGGGCATGACATCTTATTTGTGTTTCTTATTTTACTCTCTCCTGTAAATTTGTATATATTTACCTTTTCAATTTTAAATACCTTAAAGATTTACCAAGTCGTCGTCTGAGAGATATATTTATAATCAATGTTATTTTGGTCGGTTAGTTTACAGAATTAGCCCTCGCGTTTTCTCTTATACGAAAAAATGGTTTGTTCCAGTTTTTATTATCCGCCGCAGTAACATAAATAAGTGTTGTATTATATTGTTGTATTAACGTAGAAATACATTGTCATATTCTCTGATAGTTCCATTCAACTCTGTTAAGAAAGTTTGATAAAAGTAAATTTTTGGTCAGTATGAAGTGTGAGAACTGAGTGACTGAGTTTCGATACAATAATAGCAAAGGAAAGTTTGTTTTTTATTCATAGAAAATAAAAATTACTTGAAGGGAAGCTACTGCAACATTTAAATGGAAATTATCTCATAAAATCTGACGGTAGAGAGATAAAGTTCAGAAATTGTCGCGAGTTTAATCACTCCCAGATATTATTCAGTATTATTATTCGTACTTGTGTTCCTCTTCCTGTGTTGGGTTAGGTAATACAGTGTGAATGTCATATATTTTACTCTTATTGAATATAAACCCGTTGGTGATCTCTTTATCTTTGTATACGTAACAAGCAAAGCTAATATGGAAAATAATGCAGACACACCAAAGATATTATACGTTTTCTATTGTAGATGGTAGCGAGGTAAAGAAAATGGTGCGTTTTTAAGACTAACTTAGAATTCTGATAGTGTTAGGTATCTTTTTTGTGTTCAGTTTAATTAATTACGTTATTTTGATGTATTTTGAACGAAAGCTTCCTGCCTCTATATCCAAACCTCCATGCAATTGTTGGTATTTTTTGTATTATGTAAAATTATAGCTGCTGATTGGAAACTCTTCAGAGGAGGTACCCAGCTGGCAGTAGAATGATAAATACTGAAACTAGAATATTGTTAAATAATTAGTAATGTTGTCATATAAGCTCACAATGATGATAAATAACGGAGAAAAGGTTCTGAATAACTTTTAAAATCTCTTATGGTTCTTATCAAAACGTTCAACATCATTTTGCAACATCACCATAACCTATATATTCCTCTATCGATAAAACGTGAAGCAGATGAGAAAGTTTAACATACATTTCTCACGTTCCCTTTGACCGATGCACGAAGGAGGAAAACTTAAGCCAAGGGCAACAATAGAGAAGTGAAAGTAGTGCTTTAAAAATCTGCCGTGTCGTAACCGCAGGCGTGACTTGCTTCTCACGTTCACAGTTTCCAAAGTTGTGTTGACGGGCAGCCTAGTGTTGTATAATATGTACCCTAGTTAGCGTGTTTATATTACCGTGTGTGTAATCTGTGTGTGTGTGTGTGTGATTAGCGAATGTGTGTGTGTGTGTGTGATTTTACTCTGGTGTAACAGGTTATTCACTAGATGTGGGAGAGACTAATTACATATGAAAACACTCTTGGATCTGTGGTCTGTAATCTGTGTGTGTGATACGCGACACCTGGCCTTCCTGACTCTCCCTTTGTTGGAATAACGTGACGTCAACCCCACGCGACTGATAACGCAGGTTGATTCGTTAATTCTGTTACAGTATGTAGAGCGTTCGAGTGAGCACTGTCCTGTCTCTCGATCACGTAGAATAATATAAAAAGTAGAACCACCGGATGTATCAAGTTAATTTAATTTATATTTGCCCCCCTTTAGTTGTGTCCGTTGACCCTCGGCATACAGATTAGCACAAGTTTTCCGCGTAGCTGCAGCTGTTAATGAGTAAGGCAATATGTATTTTTGGGGAGGCGGATCAACATTAGAATTGACACCCTAACTTATTTCATCTGAGGATTATTAACCCCCCCTCTAACGCTACCTGGGAAGGTTAGGTTAGGTTAGTAGTAGTTAGTTATGTTGTCAGGTTAGGTTAGTAGTAGTTAGTTATGTTGTCAGGTTAGGTTAGTAGTAGTTAGTTATGTTGTCAGGTTAGGTTAGTAGTTAGTTAGTTATTAGTTGTCAGGTTAGGTTTAGTAGTAGTTAGTTATGTTGTCAGGTTAGGTCAGTCAGGTTAGTTAGTTGTTAGGGTTGTTGTTAGTTGTCAGGTTAGGTTAGTAGTAGTTAGTTATGTTGTCAGGTTAGGTTAGTAGTAGTAGTTAGTTGTTAGTTGTTGTCAGGTTAGGTTAGTAGTAGTTAGTTATGTTGTCAGGTTAGGTTAGTAGTAGTTAGTTATGTTGTCAGGTTAGGTTAGTAGTAGTTAGTTATGTTGTCAGGTTAGGTTAGTAGTAGTTAGTTATGTTGTCAGGTTAGGTTAGTAGTAGTTAGTTATGTTGTCAGGTTAGGTTAGTAGTAGTTAGTTATGTTGTCAGGTTAGGTTAGGAGTAGTTAGTTATGTTGTCAGGTTAGGTTAGTAGTAGTTAGTTATGTTGTCAGGTTAGGTTAGTAGTAGTTAGTTATGTTGTCAGGTTAGGTTAGGAGTAGTTAAATTAAGTTCTCAGGTTAGATTAGGATAGATGTGCATTAGGGTGTTTAATCTTCAGGTAATCTATGGTTTCACAGAATCAAATCTAGATTGACCAAAACATACACACAAAAACTTCTTATGTGAGGACGAATCTAGACTCATATTAAGTGATAATGTGGGGAATTTGGGGTTAGAAGGAAGAAAAAGAATTATAATACCCAAAAAAAACATAACACCATTCACAGGTTGATAAAATATAAACCAAAGATCACAGTGTTGGGTATAGTCTCGCTGGGCCTAACGTCATATGGCTTTTTGCGTCTCATAGTGGAAGCCTCGGTATAACTTTCACATTATTCCGCCTAGTTAACACAATATGTAGAGTTAACAGTTTCCAAAGTGATTAAGAAGGAAGATGTTTATAGTGTTTCGCCGGTTTGTGTCATTATGGAGGAACTGTGTTGTAAATAAAGGTACAGAATATATAGGGAGACAAAGGGTGTGGAGGGAGACAAAGGGTGTGGAGGGAGACAAAGGGTGTGGAGGGAGACAAAGGGTGTGGAGGGAGACAAAGGGTGTGGAGGGAGACAAAGGGTGGAGAGAGAGACAAAGGGTGTGGAGGGAGACAAAGGGTGTGGAGAGAGACAAAGGGGTGTGAGAGAGAGAGACAAAGGGTGTGGAGGGAGACAAAGGGTGTGGAGGGAGACAAAGGGTGTGGAGGGAGACAAAGGGTGTGGGGAGAGACAAAGGGTGTGGAGGGAGAGTATGGAATCACCACAGTTGACGCGGGATTGAAGCCTTGGTCATTGTGGACTTGTAACGTGCATGGTCAGTTGTTGATATAATGCTTCAACCCCTCAATCTTTTAACACTTAACATGGTGTGAAGAGTTATAGAGGTGTGGAGTGGTGAAAGGTGTGGAGTGGTGAAAGGTGTGGAGTGGTGAAGGTGTGGAGTGGTGTGGGTGGTGGTGTGGAGTGGTGAAAGGTGGGTGGTGAAGGTGTGGAGTGGTGAAAGGTGTGGAGTGGTGAAAGGTGTGGAGTGGTGAAGGTGTGGAGTGGTGAAGATGCGGTGCTATGAAAAAATAGTGGCGTGGTAAAGATATGAGATTGACTCGATTTTTACGACATGTTTCAACATTGTCTTCCAGGGGCTACAGACAAGATGTACCACACACAGCTTCATTCACCCTGCAAATTATACAACTGGAGTGAATTATGTACAGTAGCTAAAACAACTATCTGTGCAGGAAGGGGGTCGATATGCTCCGATGTTTTACGTGTGACTAGTGACAGCCTTCATATACCAAAATTTATCGTCCATGGTCTCGTATTGTTTCCCCACAAAGTATACACAGATAGTTTTAGCTACTGTACATTATCTGTTGTGGAAAAAGTAATATTATTTATGTATCAATATATGCTAATGATTTACAGTAGTTATCAAGGAAAATATAAGAATTAAGGCGTTGAAGATTTTTTTTATGTGATTTTTTGGTAAATATTTGTATAGGGATAAAGTTTAGCTACTAAGATATATATATATACATGATGAGATAAAAGTTACTCCACATTAAACTGTTCAGTGGATTGACTTCAATCTAAGATGGTGTTTTGTTTCTCTCTCTCAACAGGTTATCGTCAACACAAAGAGATCAACAATCATGGCGTCGCCTGCATCTGTCCCGACGCAGCCAGTATCTTCATATCCAGACGTGACACTTCTTCATCGTCTTATTTATCATCGTCTTATTTATCATCGTCTTCCGCTCTCCTGATCCCGTCGTCACTGCCACGCCCTCCTTCCTCTGTACCATCATCGCCTTCGTCATCGCCTTCGTCATCTAACACCGCTTCCCTCGACGCTAATTCATCACGTCTTTCTCCTGCACCTTCGTCAACGCCACCTTCTTTATTCTTGCCGTCGCCTCTTACCACCGCCTTCACCACTCTCTCCTCGTCGTCACCACAACGTCGTCCCTTTATGCCATCGTTATCATCGTCGTTGCCCATTGCCACTAGCCTCTTCACTCCTCCATCGTCGTTTGAGTTAGCACGTCCTCGCCAACAAGTGAGCATCGCCTCTTTAGTGCCACCCACAGAATCTCAAGGAATAAACAACAATGTGAATCTCAGGGAATTTCTACTCCCCAAGAAGAGTACAAATGTTAGCGGCGACACTGCCTCTAGAACATCACCTGGAGCAGGTCTACTAGAGGAGAATGGTAATATAGGAATGTCAGCAACTAGAAGTAATAGTCTAGGAGAAGACGGTCTTCTAGATGCGAAACCATCATTTAGAGAAAGTCTCCCGGATAGAGAAAGTAATACCAGAGGCTCAACTAGTAGGAAAAAGACTGTAGGGGTGGAGAGGAACCTGGAAGCGACGTCATCATCCATAAATGGTTTTCTAGACAGTAATAGTGAAATGTCGGCGAGTACGTCTACAAATCTAGGACTGGATGGGATTATTCTAGAGAAGACACCAACATCTTGGAGAAGGACGCAAGGAACGGATATGTCTCTAGAAGCGACTCTCCCGGGACCCATTGAAGCTGTGGAGCCTAAGAATGTGTGCATAGAGATCAAACCCAAGCAAGGCTTCCTGGACTACTCCACGCCGGAGCTACCACTGTGTCGCTACTGTGTGAAGCAGTTCCTCAAGGTGAGTGCTTGTTCTCTCTCTCTCTCTCTCTAAATGGTGTTAGTGAATGTATTTTATAAAGGTAGGCTCTCGGTAATTCGATGCCACACTGTGTTATTTTTGCTTTAAGTGATGTGGGTAAATATTTTTTTTACATCTCTGATTACGAGTAAATTTCAGCAGACTAACCTTGAAGATCTCCGGGTCAAGAGCCGAGCCCTTGACTGAAGGGCTCGGCTCAGCTCCTCAGATGTTACTACGATAAATATCTTTGTAAATGGAGGTTTAAGATTACATGCAACTGGTTGACTTAACAGCTTGAGCATAAAGGAGCGTCCCAAGCCAAGGGCGGTTACCCCATTAAAGCAGAGGACCAGACCAGCCCATGGGTGTGTGGAGGACGTGTTGTGAATAAAGCGATTACTGTATGTACAAGTTCCTTCAACACAGTCATCGCTTGTGTTGGTTTAGTTCACCATATTTACACACCACTGGGATGATCTGCACTAAGAGTCATATCTTTAAGTTGATTTTATGTTAAAAAATAACCAATGAGTTGTTAGAAATGATCTCACTTACAATAAAAGTCAATACAGAGATATAAAGAGAGTAAGATAGCTGTTAGTAGTGAGTGTGTTGACTTGTCGTTTACCGCACCAGCATAATCGATCAGCCAGCCTAGTTCAGTAGTGGCTTATGATAATGTGGTGGTGATAATGGCTACTTTGCTCCACTCTCTCCTGGTATACTGGTTTTGTTCCCTGGCCTGACGAGTGAGGAGGGTGGTGGGTGGTGGGAGACGTACTTATCATCTAATATTCCATACAGTTGTGACGGGTCTACATGTTCCATTAAAACAAGACACGACTCACTGTTTACATTATATGGTACGGGCGGCACATACACACACCCACCCACCCACCCACCCACCCTCCCTATTAAACAAAGCCTAAATACCATGACTACTGAATCACCATAAGTACAGTACATTACAACAGCAATTTAACCTCTCACTCTCCCTTCCAGCGGCGCGTCAAGGATGGTCATGGTCGAAGTAGTTACTGCCCATTGGATCTCTTCTCTGGGTCAGTCTAAACCTTTAATTATGTATAGTTATTCTCTATCACTGGTACTTAATTTAACTCATGCTAATTATAAGTTTATAGTCATTACTTATGGTTAATTATGACAGCTTACGGGTTAATTATGGTTGTTTATGGGTTAATTGTGGCAGCTTAGGGGTTAATTATGGCAGCTTTTGGGTTAATTATGGTAGTTTATGGGTTAATTGTGTTAGTTTATTGGTTAATTATGGTAGTTTATGGGTTAATTTTTGAAGCTTATGGGTTACGGGTGGCAGCTTTGGTTAATTATGGCAACTTAGGTGAATTATGGCATCTTAGCAGCCCACTAACTCATGTATTGTTCCGCCACAGAGAGCCGGAGAGGATGAGACGGGCTGTGAACGGCCTCATACTGTCACCCCAGAACAACTTCAAGGTGTTTCTGGTGTGTCATCTGTCTCTTATTATTGTTGTAGTGCTTTTATTACTTATTATTATTGGAACTATGATTGTTTTAATGTTTGAAAATACAAATAAATAATAGATTGTAGTAGGCATTGTCTCCGTTCACTGGGGTTATATTTCATACTGATAACCTAACCTAACCTCCTGTTGTGGCCATCATGTTATATGTTGTTGAGTATAATTCTTCTTTTTTTTTCAGGATGGTGAGCCAATGGACGACTGTAGACCATTCAGGTGAGGAGCTCTTGTTTATGTCCTCAAGACTCAACTGGGAAAAAAAAAGACTTGTTATTAATGGTTATATTATTGTTGTTTATTATGATCGCTTAAAGGAAGGTTATGTCATTCATGTGTTTGTTAGAAAGGTTGACCAGGTCCTGACAGTGATGTAGTGACTCCTGGGGAAAGAAAGTGTTGGGCTGATAGTCGGTCTTTAAGTGATAGAAATGTATTAAAGGATAAATGTTGAATGAAGTTATATTGAGATCTGTTACTTGACCTTTTTTCTTCTTTGTTTCAGTTACCTTCGAGATGTGATCATTGCGGCCCTGAGGTTTGATTTCGCGTCAGGCACCGCAGTCATACCTCAGGGCCCTGGATCGTTGAGCCCCAGGTCACCCCTAGGGAGAATCCTGGCCTTCCAGACCTTGGACCAACTGGGTGTGTTCAGGGCCAGTAGACTGTACCATAGTTATGTGAGACGTTTGGGTGACTCCAGGGCCGCCGACGCCACACTCCAAGACCTAAGGTGCTGGACGGGCGACACACAGTACTGCCGGGCGCCCCGTGACCTCCAGCAGTGTACCAGGTGTAAACAAGATGACCAGCACGATGCACCCCTCCTCCACGCCGCCACCAGGAAGAGGAAACACCACCTCCTGAAAAACGAATCCAGAAAAACGATGAACACTGAATCTCCAATGAAAACAGACAAGCTTGTCAATGTTGTTGCAGCAGGTGACCACAGTGACGGCAGCTTACGGAGTACTGAGGAGCTGCAAGTTAAGAGTGTATCAACTGATGACGATGGAGGCAGTGAGGATGAGGAAGACATGAGTGAGGAGGAGGTGGTGAGGAAGTTACAAGAGTATCTGCTCTCCACCACAGCCAAGGACCTGTCCCTCATGATCCTCCTGAGTGGACCTCACACCAGGTATGTTCTTCTGTTTGTTCTTCAGCGTTACACGTGTTGTTCCCCATTACTTATTCACTTGTTCTATACTGATGTGACACTTGATGTGGTAAAATACAGTTAAGTTCATCACAAAGTTACCATCTTGAGGACAGATTTATCACAATGATTTGCCCTCACCAGTGCCCCTCCACCCAGCACTGGACCCAACACCTCACCCTTCATCATCGAGTTGGAGGCCGGGGTGTGGTTTAAGTGTCAAGTGACGGGGGTGGACCTTGTCGCTAAACCCTCGAGTAAGATCGTCAAGCACGAGCGGGACTACAAGCGGTTGAGGGATGTTTTAGTGGAGCTGAGGAGTCGAGGCGAGGAGCCGATGTGTTGTGAGGTATAACGTTGCCTTACTCCTTAACAGCGTCCCTAAACTTCCCTCGACCGTCAACATCTTCCAAATTTATACAGAACATCATTGTGCCTGAGTTGAATAATATTTTTTAAGTATTTATTAATCATCCGAAGTGCTTATCATATCGCTGGGTCTTGGTGCTAAAGAATACATAAATTAAACCTTCGAATTATCGTCATCTTTTACACAACAGGTGGTGAGGAAAGGTGATGTCATGAGTGTTACAAGTTAATGTGTGTCCGTACAGCCGCAGGAACCACACGAGTGTTTTACGGTTTAACGAGAGTGGTGTGAGGCAGCTGGTGTCTGTCAGGTGTACGGTAAGAGAGGTGTGGCAGGTGTGAGTAGTAGGTGTGGCAGGGACAGGGAGGTGTTTTTGTGGGTGTGGTGATGGAGAGGGTGACGTCACTGGTGTGGTAGGTGTCTAGGGATGACGTCACAGGTATGGAGAGGGTGACGTCACAGGTGTGGTGGTTGAGAAGGTGACGTCACAGGTGTGGTGGTTGAGAGGGTGACGTCACATGTGGTGGTTGAGAGGGTGACGTCACATGTGTGGTGATGGAGAGGGTGACGTCACTGGTGTGGTGGTTGAGAGGGTGACGTCACAGGTGTGGTGAGGGTGACGTCACATGTGTGGTGGTTGAGAGGGTGACGTCACATGTGTGGTGATGGAGAGGGTGACGTCACTGGTGTGGTGGTTGAGAGGGTGACGTCACAGGTATGGTGAGGGTGACGTCACTGGTGTGGTGGTTGAGAGGGTGACGTCACATGTGTGGAGAGGGTGACGTCACAGGTGTGGTGATGGGGTATGTGTGATAACCATACCATTGCACCATCTTGAGGTATTGTGATAACAACTGTCTCTAATACTTGAAATATTTGTTCATTTGCATTCTTGTGCCTTATGATTCTCCTACATATTTGTTTTAGTTGCTGGGCGTAAGGACCTCAAGTCTAGTAGGCCCCGGTTCTAATATGCTCGAGTCCTAATGGGCCGCTATCTTAAAAAGACCTCAGCTTCAATAGACACCAGTCCTAATAGATTACAGTTTTAATAAGTGCCAGTACTAATGGCCTCCAGCTCTAATAGGCCTCAGGTTCTAATTGGCCACATTTGACCAATTACTTTTGTTTGAGTCCAGTGGTTAGTATACTCTTTATGGGCCAATAGTTAGTAGTGGCGTTGGAGCCATTTCACCAGTTCACTTAAAGACTAAATCACCCAGAGTAGAATTGAGAACGGAAGACAATTATGAGTATTCTTATTATCGTAATATTTTTTTTTTCTAATTTACGATTCCCGTCACGCGATTTTTAGTTTACATTTACGCTTAAATTACCATAAAAAAACAACATATTTATACGGATTTTAAAGATATATTCCCCCCAAGAGAGAACAATTGAAATACCATACAATAATCCCATGAAACAAAATCGCATCAAATCATCTTTATTTTAATTGTAATCATCCATTTAGGTTAAGTTAGATCATTTTATGTTAGCTTAGGTTAATTTGGGTAAGTTTCTTGGGGATTGTTTTTCTCAGCCGCAACTATTGGGTTCCCGGTGGATGTGAAAATTGCTATAGTGATCAGCCGCAAATATTGGGTTCCCGATGGATGTGAAAATTGCTATAGTGATCAGCCGCAACTATTGGGTTCCCGATGGATGTGAAAATTGCTATAGTGATCAGCCGCAAATATTGGGTTCCCGATGGATGTGAAAATTGCTATAGTGATCAGCCGCAAATATTGGGTTCCCGATGGATGTGAAAATTGCTATAGTGATCAGCCGCAACTTTTGGGTTCCCGGTGGATGTGAAAATTACTATAGTGACCAGCCGCAACTATTGGGTTCCCGGTGGATGTGAAAATTACTATAGTGACAGACAGGTGTTCGTACTGTCTCTGTTTACATACACTGCCATATGAAGCCAATGATTTTATTTAATAAGAGATACAGGTAATTCTTTATTGTCCTCTGTTAAATGTTGAGTACTTTATTACACCACTGAGTACGTTATTATTGTTCTTATTTTACTATTATTTGTTATTATTTTTACTGTTACTATTGTTTATGTTATTTCTGTGGGTTTTAAGCCTGGTGGTAGTAATAATATATTTTTTTATTATTATTATTATTATTATTATTATTATTATTATTATTATTATTATTATTATTATTATCAATTATAGTAGTAATAATAGCCAGTTGAATTATCGGTGTTATTCCTATTATTATTTTTACCTAGACGTAGAAAACAAGCAAACACCACTAATCCAATTCCACAAATTACCGAATCATATTAATACCGAATTATACTGATACCCTATACTGAATTATACTGATACCGAATTATAGTGATGCCGGGTTATTTTGATACTGTAGAGACACATTGTAAGAGGGGAAGTTCTTAGGCCAGTTTATTATATGTCATCTGTTTTCTTTCCATGGCTGTGATAATGACGGCAGCTTCAAGTGGTGGTGAAGGGGATTAGGACAGAGAAGGAATACCCGTGCATCTTAGCTCCCCCCAAAACCCACCCAACACCCCCAAAATCCCACCCCACCTCCAAAAACCCCACCCCACCTCCAAAAATCCCACCCCACCCCACCAACACACTCCACCCTCATTTAACTTCTTTTTATTATCGAGGATTTTCTCTTACCAATAAAAATAATAAGTAAAATAAAATGATGTATTTACTAAACTTTTTAAATTTGAAATAAGGAAAATAATTGGTGGTTTATGTTGCTGTGTTGAAGAGATGTTTGATATTGAAATTTTTGGCGTCTGATTTGTCAAATTTTATCGTCCTGTAATACAAAACGTTTCTTATTGGTCAGTCTGTGGCTCACCATCGTCTCTTATATCAAGCTTCAGGACCCAGAATCATTGACTTAACCCTTCAGTCCGATGACGACCGCTTGATTATATAATATTCAAAAGGTTGTCATCATACTCAAAAGGTTAAGATTCTTACATTATTTCTTCCCTATACGTTAATGAAATCGAACTGTTCTATGGACTGTAAAATCCCAATGCTATTTTGTCTATTAACGTTTTATCAAAATTAAAAAAATGAAGCTCTCGAATCTGCTGCTAGAGGGAGATGTTTATGATGTTCCCGAGTGACGAGTCAAATGAGCTTCGTAAATGATTATAGGTTTGACTTGGGGAGGGCTTATCAGGATTATAGGTAGCCATTTGACTCGTTATACCGCGTAACTGTGCAACAACGAACCAACTGTGCTATTTCCCACGCAGAGAAATGTGAAACTGCCATATGCTAAACTAGTCAAAGGTTATACCACCACACGCTGTCATTGTGTACAACCGTCCACATTACACAACGAGATGTAATACGTTTGTTTACCTCTCACGTGTCACTTCCTTGTATGTTCATTTTTGTTAGTAATTAAGGGTAAACATAATGTAGTAGCAGAGACACAGCCAACTGTTATTATTAGTCCTGGGATCGAGTTGAGCTATGAAGATTGCCATCATCTTAGCGCGGGTATATGTACGTTAATTATTTTGGTCTGTTAGTTATCGTCTACTCAAGGGGTTAAGGAAAGGGTCATTATTGTGTTAGATCAAGAAGATAAGGAGGGATAAGATGGCCCAGAGACATTCCAGAATCAGTGTAATAGTTTGTTCAATATTTTACTCGTCTAAACTGCATAAAAAATACATTTGGGTAAAGAAAAACTAGATCCGAGAAGTGAGACATGTGAGGGAAGACTGGTAAAAAAAAAGAAGAAATCTGAAAGATATTAGAATTCTGATTATTTATTCAGAAATAAAAGGATAGATAAAGGAATATCCACACAGTTCCAGTATATCAATATGGTGCCCCAACCTGTGATGTTCTTGTGGGTTTTGACATTTAGAATTTATTTGGGAACATCAAGAGGTCGTGCCTTAGTCTAGATATGAATGAATGCAAATAGAGTTATAAAACAATAATGAAAATACTTAAGAGTTATTAAAGATAGAGAGGGAGAGGGAGATCCGGTACTGGATAGATCTGGATGAACCTCATGTGACCCATTGTGTTTTGGAGAATGAATTATGTTTTTCGATGTGAGAAGTAATGTAATTGTTGCTTCTTGCCTCCACACCTTGAGGCGGCTCCGTCATTCATTCCATTTCTCTATTGTTTCTTCTTTTCCGACGTCTGTTTATTTTGAAGTTTATAAAGTATATTTGGGAGTGAAAAAGACGCTCAAGTCGCATTTACTCAGAAAACAAATTTAGGGATGACAGGAGGAAGTTTCACCTGCCAGGACGAGAGGCAGTACTGACACACACACACACACACACACACACACACACACACACACACACACACACACACACACACACACACACACCTATTTCGTGGTATTTTTTACCAGAAAGTGAGAATTGTTATTTACAAGACAATAAAATATACTAATATAATATCATATGCAGGATTTAATCAGGATCTCTATTTTAAACCTTCTCGCTTGCAAGATTTAACAATATTCTGCACAAAAGATTTTAATTACAAGATGCATGACTAATAACATCAGTTTTATTGGTCAAATGTTTTTAACTAATGTATAACACTGAGCATCAAGTATTCTGATGTTATAATATATATAGTCGGGAACACTGACTTACGCATGTTGAAGGAGAAACTAAAAGTTTTCTCCCCTTTTATGTAAAATTTGGAAATACTGAAATAATGCAAAAGGGCGTTGCATAATATATATGTAGTGTCTGTTTTTCTATTATGTGTATAAAGTTTAAAGCTTATTACACACCGTGTATTATTTATTTTTACATTAACTGCATCACAGCAATAAAATGATAAGGTGAATGTGCTCAGTTTTTCTCACTCCTTACAGACATATGGTGGCGTGTGTGGCAGTGGTCTAAACTACCCGGTGGCCACAGAACTTGGTTACATTTGATATATTTTCGAAAGGTTTCCATAATAACCCTGAATTGTATGTTTTCCAGGGATGATCTGCCTACACGATAGGTTGTTACCTTGGTGTAGTCTATTAGCCTACGATCATTGTGGGGGGGGGGGGCAGTAATTAACACTCCCAGCCTATGATAGCCTATAGCCCAAGGTGATACGTGACATTATAAGGACTCACTTTTCTGGTCATTATCACCAAGTTTATTCTATTAGTATTTATTATGACTAGTTATGCTGCATAGATTTATTCCAAATAAACTTAGATGTAAATTTATATGTCGGGGTGATATTAAAACGTCGTAAAGCATTACTGTATATACAATCTTTCCCTTTGTCATTCACTACATACACACACACCTTACACACACACTATACACACAGGCACGTTCAATTCATCCTTGACATACATACACACACACACACACACGTCTTGACCAACTCGTCAATCAGCACACAATAGACATGTCCAGCAAATTCTCTATCAAACCTTTCACCACATCTAACGTTCATTACACTTCCTGCCCGTTTATCGTGTGTTGCTTATAGTCATTTATTTTTCCTTTTCCCATTCATAACATAACCTAACCAGACCTAACCAGACCTAACCATCATATGCAATCTGTTGTTTAATATATGTGGTCAGTACAGAGTTTAAATAGGCTGTGAACAAGTTATACCACGGTTAATACATACATACATACATACATACATACATACATTACCCAAATCTAATGTAGACGTTGATTGCTCTGTATAAATAACTAAATATCGGTAAAGGTGTAATTTATGGCTACAGACCTAGTAGTGATTTTTTTCCCCTTGTGATTCTCGCAATAACGTTCATTTTATTGAGTTGAATCAGTGACATTGGCGGGAGGGGAGAGGAGCGGGCCTGGACCTTCCTCTCTTCAGGGGAATTTATTTAAACCTTGACTCACCTTTTAACCTCATTGCATCCTGATTCATCTGCCCACCTACCCACCACCTCTCCACCCCATCTCCCCACACCTCCTCCGCCCCATCACCTGCCCGCCCCACCTACCCACCACCTCTCCACCCCATCTCCCCACACCTCCTCCGCCCCACGTTGTTAGTGTAAGCAAAACAAAGACTAAACTCTCACCCAAAGTCAATATTTCTCAAACAAGACCAAGATGAGATGACATGGTGGTAAATATAACTCGTATCTTAAATAATAATAATAATAATAATAATAATAATTAGGCGTATTTTTCTGACACATTGCCACAAAGGATGTTATGAGACCTTGACAACAGTTGTACACACACACACACATAATTATATGAGTGAAGGAGGAAAATTGCAAATGTCAGGGTGACCGGAGGGGGGGGGGGGTGAGGATGTTCTCTCTCTCTCTCTCTCTCTCTCTCTCTCTCTCTCTCTCTCTCTCTCTCTCTCTCTCTCTCTCTCTCTCCTATGAGTAAGGTGTGATTTATTCCGTGGTTTATACAGGGTGGTCGAAAAGTCTGGGACCTGCAATAATTAACAATGTAAGTGGTTAGGTTAAGGTAGGTTAGGTTAAGGTAGGTAAGGTTAGGTTAGGTTAGGTTAAGGTAGGTTAGGTTAAGGTAGGTTAGGTTAGGTTAGGTTAGTCCAATGTTATGACCTCTCCCCCAAGACTCTCAAGTTTGTGTGTCCTTCCCTCACCCCCCTCCACTCCCACTCCCTCCCTCCACACTCAGATTTACGTTCATCCATGAGTGTGTTGTGATGGAGTGGGGTATCTAACCTTCTCTACTGATGATCTTGATCCTCCCTTGTGCTATGTTCTACTACGGCGTCAGGAGCAGGGGCAGGGGCAGGGGCAGGGGCAGGGCAGGAGCAGGTCAGGGCAGGGGCAGGGTCAGGGGGCAGGGCAGGAGCAGGTCAGGGTCAGGGGGCAGGAGCAGGGGCAGGGCAGGGGCAGGGGCAGGAGCAGGTCAGGGGCAGGGGGGGGTCAGGGCAGGGGCAGGGTCAGGGGCCATTATGACACAACTGGAGGTCATGGTGGGGGGGGGCCTTGGCGCTCTATCTACCGGATGTTCTTATTTTTTCCTGCCTCTGTGTTTGCTGTTAGTGTTCCTGTTTTTATTATAGTATTGATGATTTTTGTTGTTGTTGTGATGATGGTTAAGCATATTACTTTTGGTGAGGCAAAATTCGGAATGCAACTGAGCAATCTAAATATTTCAAGAAATTTGGGGGTGAAATTTATCGCCTTATTACTGATGTTTAACAATCTCTGTCGTTAAAAATAATATAGAATTGTGTAGAAAATTTATACGTGTTTTGGGTCGAGATATTAATTAGGGCAAGGAGTTGGTTTTTTTTTTACGGGGATTAGCCCACTCGGGCACAGGTCTCAGTGTGTGCACCAAACACTCCTGTAACGGTAATAGAAGGTATTCCTGCTATAACTAATTGTTGTAGTTATACCCACGGACGATTGTTGTGTGGTCACCAAACCTGTGTGTCATCTTCCGCGTCACAGGAGGAAGGTGCGTGGCGGCCATCACGTATGGGCTGGTTGTAGTCTAATATCAATATGAGTTTGGAACACAACTGCACATAGCCTGGCACTGTTGCTACTCTACTCTCAGGTGCCCCAGTTATTGACCTCACTTTACGTACAGGTATTAAATTATCTCAGTATTTTAGTTCATTGTTGGTCAGTGAAAATTGTTTATGTAATAGTTATATATAATAAAAAATAGTTTGTTTCTCCGTACAGTGTTCGTGTGGCTGAAAGTCTAGAGGTGTTTTACTATGTAAGATTACAAAAACAAGCTGGCCTGTGATTGGTAGTTTAATGTGCAGCTTGGGAGATCCTGACTGTTATTGGCTGAAAACGTAAAATCCCATGTTGTTTTTCGTTCATGAAGTTCGCTGATTGGTTCTTTCCCTATACTATTGGACCAACTGTCTTGAGTAACACTGAACTGAGTGACTGACTGGGAGAACCAATAAACAGAAGGGAGGTATTTAATTGAACAGGTTGACTGGATAAAACAAGGCAGCAGTATTCCTGTGAGCTGACTGGGTTAAGACTGGTAGCCTTCCCGGGACAGGTGGGCGAGTGACTTTCTCCTTTGACACATCACCACCAGTATGAAGTGTCAAAGGGAAAGTTATTGAACTATTGGCTGGGTTCAGATTTGACTAGATACCATTTTTTCAGAACCTGTGTATGTGTGTGTGTGTGTGTGTGTGTGTGTGTGTGTGTGTGTGTGTGTGTGTGTGTGTGTGTGTGTGTGTGTGTGTGTGTACATGCTGACTCTTCAACCACCATGTATACTCATATACTATACCACGTCATCTACTATACATACACAACATTATCTGGTATACATACATGATAAAAATATCACATATAGACGTATTCTTTTACTACATATGATATAAAGTCATGTATTTAGGTTAGGTTATTGGTGGACATGAACGGGATGTGGATGATAGATGTGTGATTTGTGGTTTAGAATGGAGGAAAAAAACGATGTGTGTGAGATGAAGGAGACAATGATGGATAAATGTGGGGCGGAGAAGGAGGAAAAGTACACCCGAGCGTGAATTGTAGTCTCCCCCTCTCCCCTAACCTCTCCCTCCCCCTCTCCCCTAACCTCACCCCACCCCACTTTCTCCCCTTCCTCTCCTCTCTCTTCCTCCACTCCTACCCCTCTTCCTGTCTCCCCTTACCTTGCCCCCTCTCTCACCTGCCCCCTCATTTTCCTGCCTCCTTCCTCCACCCTCCCTTCCTCTCCTCCCCCTCTCTTCTCCTTCTACATCCCCCCACACACACACACACACTGTTTCCTGGGCCATAATTCATCATATTGACAACAACATGCCATGGTAACTCGAAGAACCTGTTTAGTCGTAATATTAATTTAATACTCGACCTTCAGGCTGCTGGTCAGTGTCGTTGCGTTGTTGTTGTGGTAGTGTGGTGTTGTGGTGCTGTGGTATTATGATGTTGTTGTGGTGTTGTGGTGCTGTGGTATTATGATGTTGTTGTGGTGTTGTGGTATTATGATGTTATGGTGTTGTGTTGTTGTTTTTGTTGTTGTAGTGTTGTTGCGCCATTCGCTTGGGAGTTACTTTTTATTGCTGTTATTTTTGTTAAGTCATCCCATATAATGAAGTCATACGGCATCATTATCCTCAACACTACGGACACGTGTGGGGGTGTGGGTGGGAAGAAGGGGTGTGGATGGGTAGAGGGGGTGTGGGTGGGTAGAGGGGGTGGGGTGGGTGAGGGGTGTAAGTGGGTAGAGGGGGTGTGGGTGGGTAGAGGGGGTGTGGGTGGGTTGGAGGTGGGGGGTAAGGGATGTGTGGGGTGTTTGTGGGAGTCGGGGTAGGGGGTGTGTGGCAAATCAGGTGAAATAAGCTGTGGGGGCTAATCAGGTGAAATAAGCTGTGGGGGCTAATTATCAGGTGAAATAAGCTGTGGGGGCTAATTATCAGGTGAAATATGCTGTGGGGGCTAATTATCAGGTGATCTAATTGGTCTTATGGTGACTCCTGTACCGTATTCAGTGATTCACAGGATTCATATTGCACCCACACCTGTAACCTGTTTCTGGGGTTTTCTTTGTTTCGTCTGGATTCATTTGGATTCGCCAGGATGCTTCACTGGCCTCGAAAACCCTTGTCTCAGTGGTGCCGACTCCCTGCAGCCACACCACTGTCATCCTGCTTCCCTCTCCCCCCTTCCTTCTCCCTCTCTCAATCCCCCTTTCCTCTCCTACCCACTTTCTCCTCTTCCTCAATCCTCCCTTCCTCTCCTCCACTACCTGTCACTGCCCACTACTTTCCCCCACTGACCCTCACACTTTCCATTAACCTCGTTAGCAATTTATCCTCTGTTTTGTATCGTATATAATCGTCTCTCAATT